ACACATTTGCACTTAAACTGCATGTAATTACTTACGACAATGTTAAATGTTTAAAATTAAAATTGAAATCTGTAATGTCACAATGTTAAATGTCAAAATCTTTCAGTTATTAAAGAAGAGTGTAATTTTAGCCACTCCATTTCCGAATCTTATCGATTCCAAAATGGTCAAACATTTAGATATCAAACATATTTATTGTGTGTCATGAATGCGTGCACACAAAAGGTTAGGATCCACGTGCAGTGGTTTTATTGGGGCAAGCCAAAATCATAAGTCATCCAGGCAAGGTTAAAAATCCATAAAAAGCAGTCCAAAAAACAACCACCAAACCAGACAAGAACTCCAAAGTGCTAATGACAAAGATAAAACAAAGACTCGACGATAATCACAGAAACAAACAGGGAATGTATACACACAGATACTAACAGGATACTAACAGGATGATGGGAAATGTAGTCTGAGTGAAGGACACTGTGGTGGAAAAGGACCTCTGGTGGAAACCCAGGGAAACACAAACCAGACACTTTGACATTCTGTCGTTTAGCAAAACATTATTTTGCAGTTGAATAACATGGCATGAACAAATGTAAGCTGCCAAAAGAACAACTAACTGAAACCAATTTCAAACACTCAATACACTCAGTAATGCAATAAGATCAAATAAGCAAAATAACAATAGCAGCACAAAAAAATACAACTGAAAAAAGTTCAGAAATTGAAATCAAATAACATTGCGTAGTTTTATTTGTACCACCAGTGCAACAAAAGGATGACCAGAAGGATTTTTTTTTAATTATCTACAAGAGATTGTCATAATGTGATAAAAATAAATAAAAATAATGGGCATTACAAATGGTCTAAAGGGAATGGAATTCTGCAGAGGAGATATAATCTTGCACAACACCGGAAAAATTCCACTTAGGTCTAATTAAATCACTGTTTTGTTTGGCCATCTAGGATTTCATTTAACACCGATTAAAACAAGCACCTTTGAAAGGTGTCACCAAATCTTCATCCTTTTATCCTCTCTTAATGGTTTGGCGATATAGAGATAGAGATTTAACTCTGCCCACCGTGAACATAATCTCATTTACATTAAAAATGTCAACACAAATAACTGTGCCAGTATGAGATCTACAACTGAGATACTATGTGCTGGGGGTGCTTTATAGGAGGATGATGCAGGTGCTAAATGCTAATGGCTCTGAGCGCTACAATCCACGGCCAATTAAGATTTGCAAATGCGCGTTTATCAATGCAAACAGAGTTGGGATTAAAAACAGATTATCCTGAAATTTTATTGCCACAAGGGCCAGCATACACCATTACATTCCATTAAACTGGTTTCTTCTCCAGGCCAATAAGCATCTCCCTCCCTGAGGCTATTAAGCAGCTATTCTGTCAGTCTTCTTCATTCACAGACCTTCTACAAGCAGCAGTATCGATTGCACTGGAAACCCTTAATAACCCAGGACAACAAACAACCAACATGGATACTTTCTTCTTGAAACTGCAGTTACAGTTCGCCCTCTGGGATTACACAATAAATCACTTGCTTATCGCCTAGCACTAGGCTTCTTGGTTGGTACATCACGTTAATGAGATTCATCACATGTCTTTGCTTTTAAATCTCTATCATGCACTGATAGAAAAGACCAGATTTGATAAACACTGTCTAGACTGCATTCTCAAACAGACTGCTTTAAAAGCTTTATGTTATAATAGAGAGGGTTAAACAGTTCTGTGTGGAAGTCAATGACAAATGTCATTGTCAATGCAAAGCTTATCTGTCATGTTCTCTCTGGAAATAACTTAGTATAAAGAATATAAATGTGACTAAAGTACCAAAATTAAAAGGTCAATTAATATATATATATATATATATATATATATATATATATATATATATATATACTGTATATATATATATATATATATATATATATATATATATATATATTCATGTATGAGCTTCCCCCTTTGCACACTCTAAAAAATACAGGGTTGTTTCAACCCAAATATGGGTCAAATATGGACAAACCCAAATGTTGGGTTAAAATGTAATTAAAAAAATTACATTGAAAGTGAAAGTTGAAGTTTGAAATTACATTTTTAACCCAAAATTTGGGTTTGTCCATATTTTACCCAAATATGGGGCTAAAACAACTCAGAATTGTTTAGAGTGCAGGATTAATCCATGTATATCCTCCACATAACATCATTTACTTCATATAATTGTCCATGTTTCTCCACATCATATAAATTTAACATTGTGAAATGAACCAAAAAAACAAATTTGCTCAATAAATTGAATGGGCAGGCCAGCTACAGGTTATTTTCAAATGTATCATTTACCATTGAAAAAAAATGTAAAAAAATTAAAAATTAAAGTTCTTAATCTGCAAAAAAAAGTCATTATCTACATTCATAACAAAACCACAAAAAAAAACATTTATACCAAAGGTACTGATTCTTCAGGAGCTTTATAACCTAAGGACTAATATTCCACTATATTACAGTCTGATGAAAATAAAAAGGACAATTATTTTGAATATTTAAGAAAAATTGGCAGGTAAAAGAGCCAAAGCATGCTTTATAAAGACAAAACCATACAAATCATTTCCTTATCATGATTTCAATACTGTCTGGATAAAAAGAGCCAGGTGTTCTGATTGGACAAGTAAGCATTTGACTGACAGCATTTAATCAGGCCTTATAATTTGCACTGCTCTGTAATGTCCTTCCTCTTGTAGCTGCTAGAAAACTATCTGACATTACAAGTCAAAGAAGACTATATTTGAAGGAAATTGATTTTGAAACTTGAGCTCCGTGTTGTATTCAGAAACCAAATTCCTTCACAGGAATGTCACAAAGCTTGTTATATATGCTATGCAGCAGACACACAGTACTGCACGGCATATAAACGCAGAAAATCAGTAGGAAAACATAAAAATCACACAAAAGGAATACTGCCAATCAGACTTTCCTCGTTCAAAACATTGAGAGTGTTACAGAGTTTTTCAGGAAGGCGTTTAAAAGTTCATCTATTAGTGCCAAATTCATTTGGTGTGGAAAATAACACCATAAATCATCTGAGGCATGGAGAAATCATACAGAGCGTTTTGACATATTGTTGTGCCATGGATCTTGGCACATTTTCTTCCATTTGTTGGCACTGTGTCATAGCCACAGTGATTCAGTCTCCATTTGTAGTAAAAAGAAAAAAACATTGGCATTGTGTAGGACCATATACGGGCTCAGCTGTTGTTTTCTGTGCATAATATTCCTCTGTGGAAACCACGATTTTAGCTATTGACTCCAGAATGAAAATTGGTCTTTTGCCATGTACTAGGCAGGGTGCAGGGAGCACTCCTTATTGAAGCTGGCCATTAAGCATTGCAATTACGAATCAAAATTGTAGGTTCTTGTGCCTATATGGATAACAAATGAAAACAGCAGATTCTTAATTACCTCATTACACTATTAGTATTAGTTAAACACAAAATGCCTCCTCTGTCTGTCACACAGACATGTTGTGTATTGAGCAATTTAAGACATAATAACAGTCACCTATATAACAGAGCTTTATGTTAGCAGTCAGATGTGGCTCGTTTAAACAAATGCAGGACATAAACTCAGAACAAGAGTGGCTTAGCTGCATTAAACTGTCACTCTCAACATGGTGCAAGATAATGCTCTATTTTAGAGTCAAAACAACATCTAATATTTCTTAAAGGTTCAAATGTGACAGATCTCTGACCATGCATTAGTGACAGCGGAATTAGTCAGACTCAGAGTAAACCACTCAAGTGAAAGCGTCTCTGCTGTTAACCTGGGAGAGGTTAAGACCTGTTCTCCAGGATGCATCAAATAAACCAGCGCCTGATTAAACTGGAAGTTACGATCGCTCTCGTAAAACAGAACCCAGGGTCTGTGTGTCCACAAATACCTGTGTAAATCACACCTGGCTGCCATCATAACTCAGCTGAAGAAACTGTAGTGATAATCTGGAAAAATGCGGTATTATATTAAATAATAATAACAATCACATTTCAAATTATAAACAACAGAACACACCACAAATGGTTCACACATGGCTAGTACAGTATACTAGATTGTATAAGAGGGTACATTTCTCAAGCTTTTTTTTCTCTATACTAAATGAGGTCTGCATACGAGTTATGAGCTCAAAACAGTCAGTTTGAGACAAACGTCCTCGAAAGACTACTCTATTCCCTGAGCATAAGGCAGTGAGTTATCAGTCTGTCTCCAAGTGACAATCTGAAAGGCATTATTGTTTGTCATCTTCTTTGTAACCCTCATTCATATTTCAACAGCAAGTATGTTTGCAATACACAGTTTTCTCCATGACTCCCACTGTCAAGCGCACAGATGCATTTATTGATTTCAGGGTGAGAAGATGAACTTTCCAGTCGCAGGTGAACCAGCAAAGTCCCTGGAAATAACGCAGAGAACTAACGCTGTAACAGTGAAATCCGAATGATCTCCTCAAGCCTGTTTAATCAAGCAGGTAAAAGCGTAACTTTGCAAGCTAAACCACATTTTAACGACCACAAAGTCCTTTAAAAATGGCATCAGTGTACTGGCATCGACCATTAAAGAGAGAGCATGAGATATGGACCATTCATTAACTCTAGAGATCTCGGAGAGCATGCCTGAACCCAAAACACATGCCATGCAGAAAGCACCGGTGTCTCTCTCTCTCTCTCTCTCTTTTCTCAAGTCCCTGAGAAAATGTCCCTCAACGCCACAAACCTCAGGCGTGCATCAAGATGCAAGAATACAAGCCAAGCTGTTGAGATGTCACCACTAACCTTTGATGTTGCAATAAGGCTCAAGAGAGAGTCGAACGAGAAGAAAAACGTGTCGGCTGAAGGTTTAACGGCGGCGCACTGAAAACATCCCACGATTTCGCGTTCAAATTCCTCCTCTAACCAACGTGCTCATTTTCCTTTCTCCCCACCGCTCATGTGTCTTACCTGAAGGGCATCTCCCACGACTGCAATTAGCTGCCAAGATTTCATTGTGGTCGGGCAGCGAAAACGCAAAGGAAAAGTGCCTCCTGTTTTCTCAGTGGAGGTAAACCGATTGCGCGCGGAGAGCGGCAGAACGGGCAACAGAGAGCGCGCGAGTGGTAGTCAGTGGACCGTATCCACGTGGTGCCATGTAAATGACTGCATCTGTCACTCCACGCGCCTGTGCCACAGTCATCCTCCTTCTCAAGTTCACACCATTGAGCCTGACTTTGGCTCAGGGGTTTAGTGTAAACAACTCGAAAGTGATGCACGGAATCCTACAGCTTTTCTGCACCACAAGTCGATAGTTAAGTGGTGGCAAATGCTGAGCTATGCATCTGGCTGAAAGTTATGTTCTGTATAGATACCAGTTTATTTTACAACCTGAATATATGAATGCATTCAGATAATCTTAAATAAGAACCATTCTGTATTTATGAAATGCCATTTCTAGAACTTCCAAACCATAAGAAACGAGCGATGGAAGTGAAATAACTGTCATGCCATCACCCCTGAGATGACAGCAGATGCTGAAATAAATAAATGAAAAAAAAATCACATCTGATGAAATAGGACTTTGAATAGGTGTGTTTTCCAGTTGTGTGCACTTGTATTAATCTATTTGAAATAAAAGCTTAAACTTAAAAGAATAGATACTGATAAAAAAAAAAAAAACATTTTATAATTATTTTGTATATTTAAAAAAATATAGAATTTGATTTGATTGTTTTCTTTAAAAAAAAAAAAAAAGATAATTAAGGGTTAGTTCACTAAAAGATTCTGTCTTTACCTACTTCCAAACTCGTGAGACATTCTTCGGAACAAAAAAATAAGATATTTTTGATGAAATCAGAGAGCCTTAAAATATTCAATGTGACTAGTGGTTCAACAATGTTACGAAACGACATGAATACTTTTTGGGAGCAAAAAAACTAAACAAAAATGACAACTTTATTCAACAATTTCTTCTCTTATGTGTCAGTCACCACCACAACGCTATACTGATGCAGGATCCAGCCAATACTGAGCTGGAGTTCTGACGTAGAGATACTGCATCTGTCGTGAACCCTGGAGTTTAGAGATGAGGAGGACTCAAATGCAGTGAGGAGTAGTGAAAAGTTTATTTAGAAAACTTTGGGAACAATTAATTCCGTGACACAGTGAATAATAGTGAAGCCTCTCCGATCAGTAGTTCCGGTGAGCCTGCAATACTGCAGACGTGAAGGGAAGCAGAGACCACCGTCAGAACAGAGAGTCCAGGAATTGCCAGCAACTGACGAGGACATGAACTAGCAGATGCACAGTCCTGCACCGATCCACACGTCTAGGAATCCTGAACACAGATCACTTGTAAGTAGCACAGCAAACACAAACAGGCCAGACCAGCACACGCAACATAAAACAATCCACTGACAAACACTGGTAGACACAGCTGGGTATATAAAGGGTAGAGAAACGAGCGACAGGTGAGGAAGATCAGCTCATGATAGTGCTAATTGAAGATCAGCTCACGATTGTGCTAATTGTCACCCTAACATGCTGCAGCAAAAGACAGGACCAAAACAAACAACAGAGAGGAACTGGTGACACACCCTGACCCGTGACAGCATCTGATACTGACACGGAAGAGAAAAAATGATTGGATAAAGTTGTGTTTTTCGTTTTGTTTTATGCACACACAAATATTCTCATCACTTCATTATATTAAGTTTGAACCACTGGAGTCATTAACAATGTTAATGATGTCTTGACTCTTTACTACCTTTCTAGACCTTGAAAGTGGTAATTATGTTACAGTCTATGGGGGGTCACAAAAGCTCACAGATTTAATAAAAGTATATCTTCATTTGTTTTCCGAAAATGAACAAAGGTCCATGAGGGTAATTAATAATTAAATCACAAAATTTTCATTTTTAGGTGAACTAACCCTTTAATAATTCAAATAATAATTGTTTTGAAGTAAATTTCATTACCAAAGAGCATGCATAGAATTTATAATGCCTAATTGCAGTTACAACCCAAAAAGTGGGATTTGTAGGCCTTGACATTAATTTACAGAGTTCATGGACAGTCTGGATAACTGTACAGCTTAAATCTAAATTAGTAAACCTGGTGTTGACAGTTTTAAAATATTCTTCTTGCCCAACAATTTTCAATCTTAATCTTCATTACTTATACGAGAACTGCATTCTTAATCGGGTACAGAACATTTTGGGGGACCAAACTTACTTCTTGTATTCACAGTATGAACTGCTTCCGTCTGGTAGAAGATACAGAGTCCCAATGTACAAACTAAACAGGTATAAGAATTCCTTTGTACCTGTGTCTGTACAAATGTTGAATTATCCTGATAATTTTCAATTTTAAAATCTAAACTGTTTTTTATATGTTCATGCAGCAACATGAAATTTCCTTTTGAGGCCAATAACGTATTACTACTAGTTGTGGAATATTTTGTTATTATCATTACTATTATTATTATATTTCCCTTACAGTGAGGTTGAAACAAAGTGTTCCAACACTCCCCGCTCTCTACTACTTTCCTTTGAGCGAAAATGGGTAAAAACAATAAGCCCACTTTCACATCCATATCTGTATCATTATCTCCTTAGCCATCTTTTTTTATCCTCTTACAAATCTGACTGATATATATTGCTGTCAGATAGCACACGAATTCCCCCCGTATTAACCCTGTTGTAATAAGTAGCCCGATCAAATTGCGCCCTGCCTTTGATATGAAATGCAATCACAGTAGTCAGTCTCATGCCTCTTAGCAGTCACTGCTGATAAGTTTAGCATGAGGCCTCTCCCGGACTTACCCCATCCCTGGCATGAGGTCGAGAACTTGAAAGGCATTATTCGACTGCAAGGTCTTTGGCAACCGTGACATCTGACAACCACATGACAAGAAAATATCTCCCTTTTTTTACTGGTGAGCAGCAGGAGGCTAGTGTAGATCAGTGTGATAGCAGTCACCGCTGCAAAATCCCGGTGACAGTCTACATAAATTGGGTTAGCAGCAGCCCCCACAGAGCTGCATCAGGCAGGGAGACTAAAGGACTTGTCATAGGTGACCTCTATGTAACTACATCCCTGCTGCTTTGAAGTGCCGTGAGACATGATGTTTAATATGTATTCCATCCTGCCCTGACATTCCAATTTCTTAGCGCCTCACAATGTTTATTAGAGTGTTTTCATACATGCAGACTTATCATTTCATCATGAGCACAGTCATCTGAACGTTTCTCCCCCAAGTGCCAAAATTATGAACTAATAGCCTTGGGATGTTTATTAGCTGACAGCCGTCCTTCAAGCAAAACAGAACATCATGTTTCGGGAGTCTAGCATTGAAGTTTAAAAAAAAATAATAATTTTTAGACCTCCAGTGAACTGGTGCTTGACTGAAATAAAAATGTAACAGCAGACTTGAATCCTTTCATCTAAGAGACACAATAGAACGCCATTCTTTTTTCTTTTCTTGTTTTTGTTTTTTTCTGTGCCATTCCTCAAGCCATGACGCTATTCCCTCATGCATTAAATACCCAACACATTACAAAATAGGCCACCTTGTAGGGCCCTGCATGTTAACACACAGCATCCCACTTTAGGTGCAAATGAGAGCAAGGGGACAGGAAGAGGACAGAGGCTAGAGAGATGGACAGTTCCGTACAGTGGATTAGAGATTCCTCCTTGGCAACATTATGGTTATTTATGAGTCTCCAACACAATATCGGTAATGGGTTACTGTTCATCCAGGTCTCCCCGGGCGCACCCCTATACGTTTACACAAATTAAAATTGGCAACATGCCATTTGTTTTCACAGCGCCTCTTGCTTCCAACCAGGTCGCTAATGGGATTATTCAGTTCTTGTTTTTATGAGCACAAACAGTGTTGGAATCATCTGCGTGCCGTAGATCCGTTACCCTTATTTCCAGTTTCTCACCTTATTTAATTCGATTTTTTGGCTGATTTGTCCCATGCTGTGATTGACAGATGCCAGTACATGGCGTTTGCGTCCTCATCTCTTCATTGTCTCTGCGGCTGTTGAATCTGCACAAATTATTTTTCTGCCATTCTCGTAATTACCCCCTCCCTCTTTAAATAAGAGACACCGCTTGATCGCCAAATTGCCTGATGGTGACAATAACTCGTATTTGTCGGAAAAGTTCAAGGGCTGTGGCTTTCCATTGTGCAATAAAAAAAGAAGTCAATAGAGAGATTAGCGTTCACTGAGAAACTCAATATATATTCAAATATGAACAGCAATGTGATTCGGAGTTAGCCTTCTAGACTATTATCTTAGGATAATCTCATCAGATTCTGTTTATTGCTTTCATTTATAACTCTGCCGTCCTCCCCAATTCAGCCCGCACTGTTTCATCATCTTATTTACTTAGAACAACTTTGAAGCTCTTAACAGTTGCTTTCCTCGTGAGAGGCAGTCAGGGCCTCGACGCCCCAAGCTGCTCCCTACCTCAGAGCCTAATTGAGAGAGATGGGTAATGGAAGTGACTTCTCTGCATTGTGAGAGAGAAAATTCCATCTTGCTACTAATCCACGACAAACTCTCGGGTTCAAAACCATGTGACTCACGGCGGAGCCTTTGCAAGAATTAAGATAGCAATCTATGGCAGATGAATGCTTATCTAATTGAGCTGATACTTTATGATTTAAATTAATGAGGCGAGAGGCGCCGTGACAGAAGCATGGAGTTGTTGCTTTTTAGCCGCTTCGCTCGCAGCCATGTCATTTTGTTAATACGCAGATTGCTGATACCAAAACGCAGTAGTACCTTTGGGATCATGCCGTAACCACAATCAGTATGATTGAAATGCAGTGGGGCTTTCCTGCACTGGGTGGGTCGTCGATGGTCTACCGATCTGTGGCCCGTCTTTGTAAGACAAAGAAAGCATGATGAATGCTGTCAGGCACGTTTAAAGCTGCCATCTCGATTTCGTCTCACCTTCCACCATCTTCCCCTAAAACAGGGATGTGTTCTTCATTCTGGAGTGGGGCCATGGAGCCTCATCCATCAACGTGGCAACACATGGTGCAGCACTGCTCATACCTTTACAGTCAAATCAATAAAACAATTCCAGCCATCTCCTTCACACTCCTGAGTTTCACAGTGATTATCTCGAGCAGCATTCATATTTCTTCCATTTATGTATAAAACGCCCTGGGCATCACGATGGAATGTTGAACATAATATTGATGGATGCAGGAGTCATTGACCTCTATTCCACCATGTTGTGGGTGCTCAGGGCTCGTTAGATCTCGCAAAAGAAATCTCCTGCAATACAGGAATGGAGACTGATAAAGAGAATGG